GGGGTCGAGCCCGCCGGGGCCCAGCCGTTTCTGCCGCTCCTCTTCCTCGTATTCCTTCATCGCCTTCTCGATGCGAACCTTCGCTCGACCTCGCACCCGTTCTTTGAAGGCTTCTAGCTCGTCGTTGAAGCCCTCCATGTACTGCTGGTCAGCCGTCTGCAAGGAGAGCGGGCTGAGGAGGGGGCGTTCGGGGCCTCCTGGACCCCCACTTCCCCTCCCAAACCCATCCTGGGGTCCCACCCCGCTCCATCTCTTCACTCCCAAGCTGCTGAAACGCTGCAGTGCCAGGGAGAGGGAAAACCACCTACCTCAGGGGCACACGGTGGGGGTCCAGCCCGGTTCTCACCTTAATTTTCGTGAAAAACTGCCTGAAACAAGCCCGGGGATCGACCTTCAGGCTCTTGGCCAGCTCCAGGATGAACTGCATGACGATGGTCTGGTGGGCTACCTGCTCCATCAGGGCGTGTTTCTGGCGGGGGGGGTGGAAAAAAGGGACGTGAGGACCCCTCAAATCCACCCATCTCCGCGTTCCCCGCGTCAGGGAGGTCAGGGGGCACATCCCCCACCCCTTTTGGAGGGTAAAAGAAGATGCAGGTGGGCGGCCGATCTGGATGAGGGGACGGAGAGCACCCTAAGGCAGTAGAAGACACCGAGCCGGGTGGGAACGTGGATCTGCTCGAGGGTAGATCCCTACAGAGGGATCCAGACGGGCTGGATCGATGGGTTGAGGCCAAGGGGATAAGATTCAACAAGGTTCGGTGCCGGATCCTGCACTGGGGTCACAACAACGCTGTGGGTGTGGGGAAGAGGGAGGGGATTCTGCCCCACGGCAGCGGCGAGACCCCCGGCAGGCCTGGCAGCGTCAGGTTTAGGGTTGGACTCGGTGATCGTAAAGGTCTTTTCCGACCCCAACGATTCCCCGATTCTTGGCAGGAAAAGCAAATCAACCCGCGGCAGAAAGGCCAGCGAAGCAAGAACAACGCGACCCCAGCACAAAGCTGGCAGGAGGAGTGGGTTTCATCCCGGTTTCTCACCTCTTCCACCTCCAGATCGATGCACCAGATGACTAAGTAATTAGCCGTCTCCTCGCAAACGAGGTGAGGGTTATCAGAGAGATATTTCTGGCTGTCGTCCCAGCGCCGCAGCATCCCTTCAAATCAGGGCAGCCCCAGTTAGGTTTTTCCACTCGTTAAAAAAAGAACAGTCTCTAAACCTCACCAGCAAAACAAAAAAAGGGGTGGGGGGAGCAGAGGGAGAGATGACTCATCCCAAGGTTAAATTAATCCCCCCCAAATTGCGATTAACGACGGCAGCACACGAAGCTTCACCTCGGCTGGGCAAGCAGGCAAAAAATCTTGTGAAAAATATATCAAATCGTTGATGGTTCAGTGGAGCGAGCGACTTCTCCGCTGCTCCTGGCAGCGGGGGGGGGGTCCCCGACCTGATGTGCCCGGCCAGCGGGGGGGCGTTCCCCGCCTCAATGGCCACAGGGACCCCTGCCAGAAAGGGGGTGTCGGCCCCCCCAAACCCTCCCTGGCACTCACCAAAGTGTTTGATCTGCTTCTCGTATCTCTCCACAAAGGTTTTGTGTTTCTTCTCTTTCTGTTCCTCCGTTTCCTCCTTCTCCTCCGGTTTGACGTTGAAGACGCTCTGGGGAGCGGAAGGACGTGAGCCGCCAGCCCGGTGACGGGGGGACACACAGACACGGGGGCTCCCCGCTCCCCCACACCCACCTTGCTGAAGCCGTCTTTGCTGAGGGTGTCCACGTTCCAGGGCATGTTCTTCTCCTTCTTCTTCAGCTCTTCCAATTTATTTTCCCAGCTCTTCTCTTCGTTCCTCAGCTGCTGGGCTTCGGCCTGGAGCTTCTCTAGCTCGCCCTTCCCACTCTCCGGATCCGTCACCTCCAGCTCCTTCATTTTCTTCTGGCATTCAGCGAGTTTCCGTTTGCATTCCCTGCATCCTTTATCCAGCTCTTCTTTTTCCTTCTGGAACTGCTCCATTCTCTCCACTCGAGCCTGAAGGCGACAGGATGGAAATCACGTCGGGAGAGATGCTGGGTGCACCGTTAACTCTCTCCCATGGCCCTTCTTGGCCTCGTTAGCCACGCTCCGGGAAGCCAGACACACTCTCCCAGATCTGTTATCCCTGTGGAATAGGGTGAAGCACACGGAGCTGCTATGAGGGGAGTCCAATGCTCCCAAAACATCCGAATTTAGAAGAAAAATCAAGTTACTCCATGGAGCTCTGGAGCATTTTGTTGGAATTGGAGGGAATAGCTCAGGGAGCAGCTTCATTTCTTCCCCCTGCCAAACCGGGGCCAACTCCGGAACCCCGCCGCTTCCGCCTCCCCAAGGATTTGCTTGGCTCTGGCTCCTGGAGGGCGTGGGGCCGCGCAGCACCTCCCTCCCCAGTTTCCCCCCCACCCTCTGAGAAGTTAGGGGGGTTATCGGAGCCCGGCCCCCTTGTTCCAGCCCCAGGGTGACCAAGCCCCTGAAAGTGTCACCTCCCATGGGGCACCCCAAGAGGGTCCCAGGGGGTGTGTGGAGCCAGGCCCTCGGCTGCCCCAGCCCCGCAAAGGGCCCAAGAGTCCCCTAACATCCGAGAGCAGCCCCAAGGAGACCACCTGGGGCAGCAGGGAGGGGCTGTGCCC